AGTTAGACGGTTCAGGTGATTTTCCTACCAAGCAGAAAAAGGCAATAGACCCGTTGGTTTTGTTTAATTTAAGCTCATTTTCATTATGGCCGGTTGATTTTTTTAAAACAAATAAAATCCATAAAAATAATTAGTTTCTTACACACAATTAATTTCTTTCTGGTTGGACTCGGTGCTGCCCCAACTTGTTGTTCACCACATACCAAAATAAATCTTCTTTCAAGATGAAGACAAGTTAAATGTGACGCCATTAGTTATAAAACTAAGAAAATGAAGTGTAAGGAGCCTATCATGCAGAATCTTAGAAAATTCCTGCATTAATTTTACTTCTATACTTTAATTAGTTTTAAAAATTGTACTTTTAAACTTTTGCTGGAGTAAAAAGCTAAAGTTGATCCTCTAACTTCTATAAAAGCATTTTAAACAGTAGGCTTTATACTCGAGTAATAAGCACAGGCAGGGATTTACCATTAGGCAATACTAGGCAGGTGCCTAGGGCCCCAAGTTCCTGGGGGCCCCATAAAACTCTTTTTACATGTATGGTTAATACAACTATTCCTTATTTGTGCACATTAATTATGTTTTTGCTAAAAATCTTTTTGCTAAAATGCCATCAGAACGCTGATAATATTAAGTGTGTCTCAGCCCCCCCCCCTTCAGTTTCCACCATATTGGATCAGTCCATTTGCTGCACATGTTCAGAAAGGTCCAAACAGACAGCAGCAAACCATTTGAAAACAAACCATGCAAAGAGCAGTGTTGCCAACTTAGCGCTTTAGTCGCTATATTTAGCCACTTTTCAGACCCCTCTAGCACTTTGATTTCTAAAAAGCTCCTAGCGCCAAATCTAGAGACTTTTTTCTGCTACTGGAGACTTTGGAGACAACATCTAAAAGCAGCGAACTCTGCTCTCCAGAGCAAGTAGATTGGTAACCCCGCCTTCTGCTCTCCTCTATCTTTTCTGCTGTCATGATTCATGCAGCTATTATTTCATCCAAATGAAAAATGGAGAACAGAGAAGCAGATCATGGCTTGTCTACAGTGAAAAGAAGGACTGGGTTATTTACTTTTTGGAAGCAATCAGCTAAGTGAGCTTAGTGCTTGGAAAAAATCTTTCATTCCTTTAGAGACAGCATGAAAAGTCAGCTGAGTACAAAACATAGAGAGGAAAACAAGAAGAAAAGGGACAAGAAGAGAGGGACACAACCTAGAACAGATAATGGATGTCTATTCTATTAACATTTCACATAGTCTTCTCAAATCACAGGGCCCCCTGCCTGTCTTTGCCTAGGGCCCAAAATCCTTTAAATCCGTCCCTGAAAACATTAATACTTTTGACACCTCTACTAATGATTCATTGAAGGACATGAAACTTGAAGTGATCACTGTTTCTGTCAGCAGGAATTAAAATCAGTGGGAGAGCCTCTTCTGATCCCATGATGTCCGACTTCAATCCCAGGAAAAGGTTTTATGCTGCTGATCCTCACAGCTGATATCTGGTTGAGTTTAGGCAACAGTTCAGGAGATGTTGGTCAATGTTTGGGATCAATGTCATCATCATCCTGACGACGACAGGAAACACAGCCTCCTCTCTGGTGTTTGGGTGGCAGCCAGTCCACATGGCAGCTTCTCACAAACAAAGCAGTTTTACAGAATGAAAGCCAAAACCATCCTCCGTCATTTAAAGCAAAAACAGACCTCTTAAAGTCGATTCAAACATGATGAAGGGTTATGGAGTCCAGACCTGTCAGTCGGTCAGACCACAGAACACAAAGCAGCCCGCTTTTGGGTCGGGTGAGGACAGCTGGCATCAGCTGGTTCACCCCAAATCTAATTGACACGCTTTCATTCAGCCTCTATCATTTTAGCCACTTTTTGATCCACCAGCAACACTTTTCCTTAATCTGAGCTCCTTATCTGCCAACATGGATTTATCTTGCCAGGATTTATGCTCAGATTTCTCACTGCAAAGAAAAAACTGATCCGGACAAACACAATTAGGAGGATTTTATAAACTGTTTTTGAGGAGAAGTGGGATGAAACGTTAAAAAAAAATCAAGTTCAGACTGAGTTCAGCGTGATAACTCACACTGATTGCACTTCAGTGTTTTGGTGCTGCCTTTACATGCAGCTACATTTCTCTGAGATTTTATCGACAGTCAAACGCCTTACTTTGCTAAGCTTTATGTGGCATTTTAAATGTCTAAACATATCAGTCTGGATAGATAAAGTTAAGTGAGTTAAATGGAGGACCAAAACCACAAAGAATGTAAAAAAATATAAAAACGTAACACAATATAATAACGATAATATGCTGAGTATTAAAAAAAATAAAACTGTAAAACTAAAAACAGCAGCAAGAAGCAATAATGTTGAGAATTTGCTCCGCAAATCCATCTGGAAACCTTCCGTTGAAGGAATTTTGGGAAGCGGCGAAAATACTGGTTAGCTGATTGGCCTATGTTGGTGATAGACGGGCCAAATAAACCAATCAGATCAACGAAGCATATGACGCACTAAAAGCCAGGCTACTCTTGCCAAAACCAGTCGGGAGAAGAGCAAAAACATCTTTTCCTCTGAGAAAAGCCTCCAGAGCAGTGTTTTGCTCTTCTTTCAGTGAAGCAATACTCTGTAATTCCGATAAAACTTGCTCGATAGCCACGCTAACGCTAGTTTCATCGGCTGAAGCCGCCATGTTGTTTAGACTGAACTGTCGCGCTTCTCGTTGCGTCAAACCTCAACCCGCCTCAAAGCCAACGCTGATTGGACGTTCGTTTGGTGAACGGCTCCAAATTTTCTTCAACCGAGAGTCTCCAGACTGATTAGCGAGTGAAACCTTGAAAGCTCGCGAGATCAGGATGGTCTCACGAGGCTACGTAGGGACAGGTAAAATTTTGGCCCGACCTACTCGTCCCTACCACTAATTCTACGTGAATAACATGATTATAGTTTACAATACAGCGTTGTTGCAGAAGTCGCTTCTTTCTCACAACTTGTATATTGAAGTCAATATTTTAAATGCTCAGTTCCTCTTATAGTTCCCACGCCCATGTAAATACAATAACTCTATTTGCAGTCCCTTGAATATGTTATGTTGCTTTATTTTACAATACAGAGAACATCAGCATATCAAATAAAAAAATAAGACTGGGTTTTACCTCTGTTTACCTCTGCATATTACTTGTAGAAAACACCGGATAAATACTATGGCTGGGTATCGATTCAGATTTTCCAAATCGATTTGATTCGATTCACAATTATTGTTTCGTTTCCTTGATATGGAAGACATTCTCAGAAGAACCAATGCTGCAATTAGTAGAAACATCTAGCTCAAACTTGGAACATTACTAAAAAAATTACATATTTACATTAGGAATTAAACCCAATGCAGTTACATAAATCATTTATGTTTTATTTAAGGCTGTGTAAATAAAGTGGCAACTAAACCATCCGTCTTAGTCACTGCTAAGTTCAAAAGTAACCCCTTTCAAAGTGTAGGTTGTCCCAATTTTACACTATTCTGAGCCACTGATGCTTTAAACATTGATAAACAGCATCTTGTGTGTGTAGTCCTTATAAAATGTCTGTAAATGTAGCAAAGAAGCGAAATGCGCCCTGAAGCTAACGTCAAGCATAAAATAAAATAGGAGCATGCATAATGCGTAGGACTATGACATCAGACCAATTCAAATTAAGGCCAATAGTGTCTCTTCCAAAGTTGAGATCAAACCTACGCCCTTGGCAAAGTCAACGGTTGATGTGGATCAAGCCGCAGCAAAAGGTCCCGCAGCGCGTTTAGGCACAGCAGGAGAGGTGCGTCATGAGCTTCTGAGGCGCTTCAGATGCAGCAGCTGCTGGAGTTGGAAAAATGTACCTTTTGCTGCTGGACGCGCCGCATCAACCAATGAGAGAGGCTGATCTGGGAGCTGGCAGGGAGTCAGACACAGCACCCCTGATGCAGAGCGCTATGATCACTCCTCTGAAACTGTTTATTAACGTCTAAATTAACTTGAAATGTTAAAACCTGCGGGCAGAATATGTTGGCTTTTATTATCCTGCAGTGGCGCCCCCAGAAATGTTTCATAGGTGGGGAAACGTACTCAGATCTTGGTTTATTGTGTGATGTTAATGCTAATGGCTGTGCATAATGGGATGAAATGCTAAACTGATGCTACTACAATTTCCCCTGATGAGTTGGGTGACCAGTGGGGTGGCCGCCCCCTGGTGGCGCCACTGTTATTTGGTAGCTGCAGTTTGGATTATATAGTTGTACCGCTGAGTCTTGTCCTGAGGATTTTAGCTTCCAGAAACCTACAATGCAGCAATTGAACTGATTCCTTCCCACGATCATTACAACCCCAAACCCCAGAGCAGGGACCAAAACACCTCGCCACTTTCAGCCAGGCCAACAATTCCCTTCAACGACCCCCCTTTCAGAGACATAGACAGGTATGGGGCATTGCAGGCGAACAAAGAAGCCAACGACCCCCATTCCAAAGGGGGGGACCCCTTCGTCTGTTCCAATTAGCATTTTTTCTAAACAAAAACCAGGCTTTGTTGGGCTGCTGGATAAAGCCTGGAACTAAACGCTATTTCTGACATTTTGAATTGAAAAATCTTCCTGGATGGAAGAGAAACGTCTTCAAATTTGGACACAAAGTCCAGTGGATTGTTTTTAACCTTTTCAGGGGGGAATTGTTTGGACAAAAAAGGCAGAAGAACGGCTGTAGGTCAAGTACTGCTGCACAGAAAACATCCGTTACTGCTAATAAGTAAAATAATTGACCCAGTTTTTCCGTCACTGCTGGTCTTAAACTGACTGTACAGGTGCAGAAACCACTTGATAATGATGCAGCATCACAATCTCCCCCTCATGAAAATTTTCAGCCGTCAAACCGTCGTCTGCTCTGGATCCAGAGGCCTGAAGTCGATCCTGTTATGCTAATCGGCGTCAGCCTTTAATCTGAGCTCCTTCATGTTTTGCTCTCTCTGTGTTACAGTGAACGTTCCAGCTACGGTGATGGAGGCCATGACCAGGCAGGAGTCCCTCCAGTCCTTCAGCAAAAACAGCAAACCTTCCTTGTCTTCCTCCTCCAGCCCGCCGGCCACCCTGCTGCGGTCCATGGTCTTCCCCCACTCCCCCTGCTCCCGGAGCTTCTCCCTGCTGGATAAGGTCGGGGTCGGAGTTCAGTCCGACTCCACCTTCGGCCCGCTGGGGTCGAAGAACCAGCGAGTCCTGGCCAGCCCGACCTCCACCAGCCAGCTGAGCAGCGAGTTCAGCGACTGGCATCTGTGGAAGTGTGGCCAGTGTTTCAAAACCTTCACCCAGAGGATCCTGCTGCAGATGCACGTCTGTCCACAGAATCCTGACCGGTAAGAACCACGATGAGGGACAGATTTAACTAACCCTTGGACTCTTATTGCCACAGGACCGGTGTGGACATGTCCCCACCAATAATCTCTGCTTTTTGTCCTCTTTCCGCTCATTTACTTTAGCCACAGGTAACAGGTTGGGTGCAGCTATCTGTGTTCAGAGCGTTTTAAGTCTGTGTTTTTTTTCCCTCCTGTTACTACCCGAACCGTCCCGGAAGCACAATCCGTCCTGCGCCATCAGCTCATCTGTGCATCCAGATATACATCCGGGTCATCCTCGATTTTATTTTGTTAAAAAGACAGGCTGTTTTGTTAAAAACAAAGGCTCTATCCAGAGTAGAAAAAGAAGTGACAGCAAAGGCTGGATATTAGAAATAAACTGATGGTTCAGGAACAGATCCAGTGTTGTACGGGGCTCTAGCATAGCTGTCAGCTGAGCTGTGTGTTTATATCCTGGCATACTTTGATCATTAGAAACATTAGAGATGGACGTGAGCCGTTCAGAGGAATTTACACATTTTGGCTGTAATCTATGACTTTCTTCATCTCCTCACTATCTGTCGCTGCTGCATCCAGTGGGAGTCTGTGGACTGGAGTGGACAAAGTGTTTGGGTTTGTATAACATCTGCCAAGTTAATTATGTGCAGCATGGATGGAGGAAGATGAGATCTATATGCGTGTTGAGGTTAGAGGATGTATTGGAAATTTTTTGCTTAGCTTTATTTTTTTGCGGGGAGAGTCAGAGCAGCGTATAAATCACAGCAGCGCGTCAGTGAGAAATACCTCGCCTTACGGTGACGGGGCCAGGAAAACAGATGCCACTTATTCAATAAACTAATACTCATAGGGAAGAAAAATGTGGGCTGGATATGGAGGGGGGCGGGGGTGGGGGGTCGATCTGGGGCTGCCTGTCAATAGGAAGGTTTTATGGGACGGAGGAGCAGATAAAATTCAGCTGAACAAGCCAAACAGGTCAGAGTCCTGCAGCTTCAAGGCTGCATTATCCCTCATATTCATGCAGCCTGGAGCCGAACCAGGACCTGCGTTCCTGGATGGGTGGACAGAAAAGCACAAAGGTACCTGTTCACCCCCACAGACCGGTATTTAGCATCAGTTAGTGCTCAAAAACACCTATCCTGGTTTACAGGCAGGTTTTAAACCCTAATGATGCTTCCAGAAGGTTCTGAAGTTCATCTGTAGGCTGGTAGCTGAAGTTCAGCTTCATAATTTCATTATTAAACCAGAAATATTTGCTCACACTGCAAAAATGCCTTAAAATGTCTTAAATTAAGTGTATTTACGCTTAATTTGAGTAGGTAAATGAGAGGATCTGACAATGGAATGAGTATTTTTACACTTAAAATAAAATAATTAGATAATATGCACTTGAAATAAGACAATGCAGTTGTTTTTTTTCTTATTTTAGATGTAAATTTCTCCCTCAATTCAAGAAAAGTTGCACTTATTTTAAGAAAAAATTACTATATTTTTTGCAGTGCAATTAAAAAAAATAGATAGCCAAATACAAAATGCTCAGTATCATCTGACTAAAATATATGCTTAGTTTGATTTAATTTAAAACCATTTGAAAACAAACCCTGCAAAGAGCAGTGTTGCCAACTTAGCGCTTTAGTCGTTATATTTAGCCACTTTTCAGACCCCTCTAGCACTTTGATTTCTAAAAAGCTCCTAGCGCCAAATCTAGAGACTTTTTTCTGCTACTGGAGACTTTGGAGACAACATCTAAAAGCAGCGAACTCTGCTCTCCAGAGCGAGTAGATTGGTAACCCCGCCTCCTGCTCTCCTCTATCTTGTCTGCTGTCATGATTCATGCAGCTATTATTTCATCCAAATGAAAAATGGAGAACAGATAAGCAGATCATGGCTTGTCTACAGTGAAAAGAAGGACTGGGTTATTTACTTTGGCCTTTTTGGAAACACAGGAAGGAGCAATCAGCTAAGTGAGCTTAGTGCTGGGAAAAAATCTTTCATTCCTTTAGAGACAGCATGAAAAGTCAGCTGAGTACAAAACATAGAGAGGAAAACAAGAAGAAAAGGGACAAGAAGAGAGGGACACAACCTAGAACAGATAATGGATGTCTATTCTATTAACATTTCTCTATCTGGAGAATGAGGCTGTTTTATGTTTCGCCTTCTGAATTCAGAGGGGCCCCCTGCCTGTCTCTGCCTAGGGCCCCAAAATTCCTAAATCCACCCGTGTGACTTTGTTTTAATGAAGCTTCGGCTCCTCGTTTAACTAAATGATCTAATAACTTGTCATATTATCAGAAGTTCTTATTGGTTAACGTCCAAAACTGCCACTGGATCATTTTTTCATGGGTCAGTTTATTTATATTTATATTTAAATGTCTGCTTAGGCGGTAGATTATTCCTAGATTCCACCTTCAGGCCTGTCGCTGCTCTATCTGCTGATTTCTCCTCCATCTCTGGGTTTTTCTATCTCCCCTCCTTCCTCCTCCTTTCCTTCATACATATCGATGTTTACTTGATGGGAGCATCAGCAGCTGAAGACTGATGGCTCTGCATGTCAGTAAAAATCGGCCCGGCTCCATCTCTTTTAGTTTTTTTCTGCTGACCGTTTCTTTTTTTCCTCAACTTTTTCCTCTTTGTCATTTCCCTCGGTGTCATTGCAGCTGAATCCATCACCGGAGGAGCCGTTTGTTTATGTCAGCCGGAACTTGGAAGTGCTTTTGATTGGCTTTTAAACTGGTGTCGGGCTGCCGGACACTGTTTAACTCCTGAGATGATGATGATGATGATGATGAGTGATGAATCAGGGAGAAAAATGAGAGCGTGAATTAACTGTGACGCGGCTCACAGTCTGTAGATGTTACAGAAACAATGCAGCATGAAACCACGGGGGGAGGGGGGGGGCGATTAATAACCACGGCTCCTATGATGGATGTGTTTACTGTGCTGCTGTTTAAATCAGAGCTTTTTAGGGGAAAATTATTACCGAGCGCTTTGATCGGCAGCCTGAACGTCTCATTCTGCTGCCTGATGGTGTTTATGGATCAGCCTCCTGTTTGTTTATGGATATAATCCCAGTTGTATGTCAGAGGACAGAAGGTTTACAGCGCATTGAAAGTGTGTGTCATCACACCACGCACTGTTTACACGGATTAACCGTTACTTCTGTCACTGGGTCTCTTTCTCCTCCCACTTTTTTCAGCCATGTGAACCAAGAGAAAATTCCTCTATTTTTATCTGCCGTTGTTTTAATGATCTCCTCGGGGATCCGACGCCGGTTTGCTAAAGAAAGGGACTCAGATCAAAACTTTATTTCTGTTTTTATGTTACAGTAAAAAATATTAAAAGACAATAGATCTTTCTGTTTGCTTCTTTTGTGAAATATATCCACATGGTTCACTGGAAAAAATCAAAATCTAGATAAGTCATTTTTTCTTAAAATAAGTGTATTTGTTCTTGAATTGAGGAGGTAAAAGCGACATTTTGCCAATTGAACAGGAAAATTTACATTTAAAATAAGAAAACACAATTGCATTGTGTTATTTCAAGTGTATGTTATCTAATTATCTTATTTTAAGAGTAAAAATACTCATTCCATTGGCAAACTGTCTCATTTACCTATGCAAATTAAGGGTGAATACATTCTATTTAAATAATTTTTACTTATTTCTAGATCGTTTTTCCAGTGTTAGTTTTGTGCTTTAAGTTGTTAAAAATATTTTTGAAAAAAACAAGAAAAGCAGCATGATGCAAAATAAAATGGATTTCTTTGTGCATTTAGACCTTAGTTTTATCAGCAGGTTTGCTTTTTGAGCAACCTATTCTCATTATGAGTGCGTATGAAATCGTACGAAAAGTTATGCACCGTAATTTCGTACGTTTTGGACGTTTTTTTCGTCGTATGCGCATGCGCATCTGACGCACCATTCACGAATATAGAATATAAATTACAATTAGCCCTAAACCTAACCCTAAGATATAAAACAGCAAGCAACGTAGTTAGAGACATGAATAAGTGATGATTGCACTGTTTTTCCCAGTTTTACGTCCGTCCGCGGATCTGCTTTTTTTGTCTGTCTGCCAGCGCATGCGCACTGATGTGGTTTTTTGAGGAAAAAACGTCCAAAACGTACGAAATAGCGTGCATAACTTTTCGTACGATTTCATACGCATTCATAATGAGAATATGTTGTTTTGAGGCAAAAATAGCATCCAATGTTTGATCAGAGTCATGTTTATCTCCAGATGAAGAGACGCACTGGAAAAACAATCTAGAAATAAGTAAAAAGGGCTTAAATTAAGTGCATTTACCCTTAATTTGAGTCAGTTAATTAAATAGTTTGCAAATGGAATGAGTATTTTTACTCTTAAAATAAGATAATTAGATAACATGCACTTGAAATAACACAATGCAATTGTGATTTCTTATTTTAAGTGTAAATTGACTTGTTCCATTGGCAAAATGTCTGTTTTACCTCCTTAATCCAAGAGCAAATGCACTTAGAGAACCCACTAAGAGAACATGCTAACTCCATGCACAAAGGCTGGGAATCAAACCCAGGACCTTGGGTGGAGGAAGCCGGAGTACCCGGAGAGAACCCACTAAGAGAACATGCTAACTCCATGCAGAAAGGCTGGGAATCAAACCAGGACCTTGGGTGGAGGAAGCCGGAGTACCCGGAGAGAACCCAAGCATCCTCAGGGAGAACATGCAAACTCCATGCAGAAAGACCCGGGGCTGGGAATCAAACCCAGAACCTCGTTGCTGCGAGGCAGCAGTGCTACTCTCTGCAATCATCATATCTACATAAATTAACCCTTTAACGACCCCCCTTTCAGAGACATAGACAGGTATGGGGCATTGCAGGCTAACAAGAAGCCAAACGACCCCCATTCCAAAGGGGGGGACCCGTTCATCCGTTTCAATTTGCATGTTTTCTAAACTAAAACCAGGCTTTGTTGGGCTGCTGAATAAAACCTGGAACTAAACGCTATTTCTGACATTTTAA